CAGCACAGCACAGCACAGCACAGCACAGCACAGCACAGCACAGCACAGCACAGCATGATTGCACAAGTTAATAGTAGCTTTTTTCATTACATGAAACTTTCCCACCAAAAAAGTTATATCCAATATGGCGGACACAAATAATCTTCAAATCCAAGCTGCTCTTTCTACTCCCAAATCACCCTCCCCTGACCTGTATATTTATATACGATTCAACAAATAATCAGACATGACTGCTACAATATCTTGCTGTCTTCTGTGTTTTTCATTCATTAGCAATGAACTCTGAACTAGGCTTTGCAAACAAAGATCCTGCAGGATGAACGCAAGATTAGCCAGAGTAAACACACTTAGATGATGGCATAGTTTTTCTTGGCTTCCAGAAATGAAAACAAACATTGTGCAGCTCGATCACCTTTGCTTTTAACGTGCTTAATGCAAGCGCTGTACTTTGTGTTATATGAAAATAATGTCTCAAGCGATACCGTATGTTTTGGATGCATTAAAAATGGCCGACAGTAAATAACCATCGGATTAGTATAGGAAATCGCACGATCTCGAGTACAATTTGGAAATTAATAGGTACGAGTAAGTACAAAATAATAGAAAATAATTGTTTTGACATTGTTCTGGCCGTGTTGCCATAGCGATTTAATTCGGTACTACTACGGAGTACGATTAATGCTATAATTGTACTCCTCTCGACCAATCAGAGTCGAGTAATTTTGCTGAGTGTACTATAAGATATGGAAATAGCCACGAGCTTCCTCCAGTTCGACCTCATTTACTCCTAAGGAAAAATGTCTTACTCTTGAACAGCAAAAAGTAATTTACTTCGGTTTAGCGACGCAAGCCGACGCAAGAAATGAAACCAAAATCTTCTGTTCTCTTGCGCTTGCGCAGTGTCTTATTGATGGTTTTCAAAGCCGCTATGTTGGATAAATTTAACAAAAAAATGAATTGTTATTAGACTCTTCTGTTATATCCTCCAACATGGCCGCTGTGTCTTTTGTTATTTCCGTCTCTTGGGAAAGATTGAACACCAGCAATAGTGAGAACATGTACTAGCTTGGAGTTTCCTTGCGTCTAGTGAGGACCAGAATTTACTTTGGATTGGCTCCTGGGTACGAGATTGGCGTCAGCCATGTTTACTCCTGTACATGCGCAGATAAATAAACGCCATTGTTAAACCCGCGTAAACTCATCCTAAAGTGTTTACATGCATTTGATAAAAACACGGAAAACATGTACTGTTACATCGAAAAGAAAATTTAAAACGACAACTAGTGTTTTTATTGCGTCGGTATTTGAAACATAAGTCTTCAAATTTTATCGATACCTAAAACGCACAGAGTCGGCGTGTTTTGAAGACTAAACCTCTTCATCGACCACCCATGTGAGCATTCAAATGATTTATCACAAAACACGACCTACGATTTATAAACTAACATCAACATCAAACACACATTATCGTACCCCGTTACTAATGGTCGTCTCATTGATTTCGTTATAATTGAATTTCCATATGAGAATGTGATAACGCGTGAAGACAATGGGATAATGGGATTAACCGTGGATTTTTTGCAGCTCTTCTTCCACAGGATTCCAACTGGAATAGTTTTAGTTTTTTTACGGAGGAAGGAAAACCGGAGAACACAGAGGAAAACCCTCGAATCACAGGGGAGAACCAAAGTAACAAGCACCTCTTGAAGAAATAGAAAACGCGCGAGCGTGCTGTGTGCAGTTATAAAGCGCGCGGGAGAAGTATTAGGAGAAGCACGATGCGTAGCGGAGTGCTTCTCAATACTTCTTGAGTGTTCTGACAATCCCCAAGTGCTTTATAACTGCAAACAGCACAGCAAGCAAGTTTTTATTAGTTTTATAAAATATGAATTACAATAACCGTTATTTTGGTTAGAAATGACGCAACTGAAAGTGCGCGCGCGTGCTGTGTGCTCACATAAAGCACGCGCTCCCAACCAATCAGAACGCGAGATTTATAGCAGTTGTTTCTCACATACGACACCAAGCCCGGTGCGCGGGACTCGAACCCAAGTCGTATTGTTGAGAGGCGAGAACTCTCACCTCTACTCGTACGCCACCCGTTCTTCCTCTGATCCAAAACTTATTGCTCCATATTTATCGGCAACGACAAGAATATTATATGGACCTTATTCGTTAATTCAGTTCGTAGTGGTGCAATGTTTTTCAATGTTTTTCAACCACGAGTCATTCTAGAAAATAAGAGTCCTTCTCGTATCTATGTGTCTTCTCATGCACATCCCTTTTGACAAAGAAATGCTACTCTTTTTAGACCCCGTGTCATTCCCTAGAGTATCCTTTCTTTGTTTATCGGTTGCACATGAATGTGGATACAACTCAAACAAAAAATCTTATTCTCTTATTGGTTTGTTTTGCTTCAGTATATATATGTATATGCAACAAATTAAGCTACAACTGCGAATAAAGTAGATAATAAATAACGATCAAGGGATAAATATGGAAGAGTGTCTGGGTTTTCTAAGACAGATTGAGTCAAAGTTCACAAACGCCCGGAAACAAAAAATTTCATTGCGATAAAAATCTTGTTCTTGTCGACTGTAGATGACAGGATGCGGAAAAAAAAGCGCGCGAGAGTCGAGACGAGAGGGGTCAAGTTAAAGAACGCGTTTTATTCTGTTATCTCACGCTGTACATGACGGCTGAAGCGTCATTAATTAGATATCTGTAGGTTAATTTTGAAATGTCTTTATTTTTGATAAATGATATAGGGTTTTTAAGTCATTGGTTTTTAACGGTTTGAAGCGCGGGATTGCTGTGGTGAAATCAAGAGGAGGTATGGGCCTAATAAAAAGGGAGTTCAAACCTTTGATGGATCACGTTGGCATTTTTATTAGTATTTAAGTTTTTCTAATAATTTAAAAGAGTTTTAGTCAAGAGGAGGTCTGGGAAAAAATAAAGAATGTATAATACGAGGCTGAAAGTTGTACTGAGCATGCGCCAAATGTGTTAAACAAACCACAGGTAGCCCAAGCTTGGTTTCTGTGGTGTCCTGTTATAAGGAAATGTATGGAGATTCATCAAAAATTTCAATAAGATCATTAAAACGTGAAATAAAGCCTCGAAATTTTACCCGATCATTGAGAAATAGTGTGGGGGAAAAAAATCTTAAAACGGGCTAAATTTAAAAAATAACCACGCGGAGCGAAAGAAGTGCTATTTCTCAATGATCGGGTAAAATTTCGAGGCCTTATTTAACGTTTCAATGATTTTATTGAAATTTTTGATGAATCTCCATACATTTCCTTATAGCAGGGCTCCACAGAAACCAAGCTTGGGCTACCTGTGAACAAACATGGCTGCTGAAAATGCAACACGAAAATTGGTTGCCTGCGGTTAAAAGATTAGAATAGAGCTTTAAAGTTGTAAGGTATTTCCGGATCCAGAAGCTGACAAAACTGCGGAAAAAATAAAGCAAAAAATTTTCTCAATAATTTAACCTTCACCTTAAACAATAAGAACTTTGTCATGAAGAAACTGAAATAAACATCTTTATAAGATTAACTGCGTTTCGTTTTGGACCCGGAAATCGTTTTTTCCATAACGAGTGACGTCCCACTTAAAAGCCTTAGAAATATTTCTGGCTTAACGTTTAAGCAATGAGTTTATCCTCTACTCTTTTGTAGCAAATTTTGGGATCTTCTTGAACCATTTTTATAGCAAAATCAGGCGAGCACGAACGTATTTGCGAGCGCTATGAAAGCTTATCGCCGGATCTCAAAAATCCATGAATCGCTCACAATATTCATGTGACTGCTGACGCATTAGAGCTCGTTGACAGAGCGATTTTTCCTCCCACTAACTGTAACAACAACTTCTATATATCGCCTTCTGAATAGTTAACCTCAAAGTGTCTTCTTTATATCTAGACCTTATCAGAATTCCGTCTTGAGATCAATGTTCTTGAATCTTCACCATCTGTCGAGTCAGCGCCCTCACTAGCACGTGACATGCGCACTTCAAAGTTTTTGTTTGTTATACAAGTGGATTCTTCTTTGGTCTTCCTGTGGAGGCGGTAACCCAGGTACGCTGAGAGGGCTAGTAACGATAGGCAAATCAATATTAACAGGCTTATGCCCAAGCGGTAACTAGCTTCTTTGGACGCGTCCATGTGCTGCCTGTCTGCAATATTCAAACGGACGGACTGTAATTAGATCTCTTGTATATGACGTCAAAGCAGCTCAATTTGGAGCACAAAACAAAAGAATTTCAATCTCCTGAGAATTGGAAACCTATCGTTATGTCCTCCAAATTGAGCTGCATTCCGACTTACTCCCAGGGGACTATAAGGTATTTCATATGATCAATTAATTATATATATGTGCAATTAACCCTTTTGCTACACGAGGCGCGCTTTTTATGTGTGCGCGTGCAGCCTATTAATTTCTCATTTGTAAAACGCCTCTCTGTTACTCAATTGATTACAGTTTTGAACTCAGGCTTAGCCCGCCTCGAATCAGTGTCTAAATATTCACAAATACCAACGGGTAAAATAAAGAATGCAGAATTCAACAATACAAACACTTTGAAATTCCACGGACCTTCACTGGAACACRTGGATATTCTAGACAAATTCGTTTAGTGTCGATATTGTTGAAATTGTGCATTCTTTACTTTACCGTTGGTATTTGTAAATATGTTGACACTGATTCGAGGCTAACCCTGTGTAAATGAGTCTGCAATCAAGAAACACAGCGGTAATTTGGAACTCGAAAATGGTCTTATATTTTCGTGATATTCTGTCAGGTATACTAACTTGGCGGGAAAGCGTCGTTGGGGGCGTAAGGTGGAGATGGTGAAATCGTTGAAAGAGGTTCAACCGTAGAATGATCGGTATTAATTTCTGGTTCGCTTGGCTCTCTCCCAGGCTCTGAATCACCAATATGTTTTGTCAATAGCTTCTGGCAGTTTTCCTCGCTGAGGCAGTGAGGATCTGTATTAGAAGTACAAATCAAGAGAAGAAGTGAAAAAAGTATGCGCATGCGCAGCAATGTCCAATGAATCAAACACGACTGCTTATAAAAATTTGCATCTAACACGGAAATTGGTCAAGGTTTTAAAGTGCCTATCACCCTTCTGACAATATTATCAGTATTGATTCTACATGGGGTAACATGTTGAATAACCCGAAAAAATTACATAGTTTAAGTGCGGCTGAATGCTGAATGCTGAATGCTGTGGCGTATGAGTAATCATTTAATATACAAAACACTACTGGTACAGATAAATTAAATTTGAAATACGTCATTGTTTTCCCCATTGTTCTTATAGAAATGATTGCAAGTTAGTTTTCCCATAGAAGCCGGTGTTTCGAATTACGAGGAACAACAAATAACCATAAATGCCTCCTCATACGTCACAGCATTAGCATATGACATGGAAAAACCTTCATAACTTCAAGAAGCCGCACTCAAACTATGTAATTTTTTCGGGTTATTCAACATCTTACCCCTTGTAGAATCAATACTGTGAATATTGTCAGAAGGGTGATAGGCTTCTTAAGGGGGAAACATTTTAGCACCAAAATTAGAAAAGTTTTACGTACCATAACTGACAACCGTTAGGCATTGGTTAGCAATATATTAAATACAAATTTTTCGAAATTATAAAGAAATAAAAATTTGCATTTTCGTAGATTATTTTGCGCTAAAATTTACCTATACCATAAGCGTTTTTCTCAGCATGGAAAGCAGGTAAGCCCGCGATTTTACCTACGACCGCTGACTCGTTTTTTCAATCCAGTTAATCAAGAGTCAATAGACTGAGCGCAAAATAAAGTAAAGCTCGGCGTGGGAAAAAGAGAGTCAGGACTTTAATGTGGGTACCGGGTATAATGTTTTTAAATTTGAGTCCACATGTTATTCTCTTAAAGCTTGAGAGTAAGATTCTTCGACAACTTTTTTTGAAATAATGAGGTGTATTCCTTATTGTGTGTGTGTGTGTGTGTGTGTGTGTGTGTGTGTGAGTGAGTGAGTGTGTGTGTGTATTTTGACGTTAAAGGTGCGCGCGACGTATTACCAGTGTGGTTGCCTTCAATGAGAACATTGCCTTTGCTATCGTTGCACATTTTTTTTGGAAATAATTAGGGGTATATACGTTGTGTTTTGTGTAGTTAGAGGTGCGCGCGAACTTCCTTTGAATAAGCCTACATCGTGTCATTACCTTTGCTATCGTTGCAGACGTGAAAGTGCATCTTCATTTTTTTTGTTTTGCAGTGACCTCCTTCGGTGTTGATTAATGAGCTCGGCGTTCCATCGGAAGTCCCTGTAGACAAACCAGATAGAAATAGGAGTTTAAGATTGTCAGAATAGACCTCTTTACCTTTGGTGTAATGTATTTACCATTACAGACCACGTGTCATTCCCTAGAGTATTATTTCTTTGTTTAGTGATTGCGCAAGTGAAAACACATGAATATGGATTAAAATCAAATCAAGAATCTTATTCTCAAGAGAATGGCACGTTATCCGAAATGGGAAAATATTGCACCATAGCTAAAAAGCATTCCTAGTAAAGAAAGAAATAATACTCAAGGGAATGACACGTTGTCTGAAATGGGAAAACATTGCACCATAGCTAAAAAGCATTCCTAGTAAAGAAAGAAATAATACTCAAGGGAATGACAAATGGCCTGAAATGGGAAAACATTATGCCCAGGATAAAGACAATGTCACGGTACAAAATGAACAACCTCTTTTGACTCATTAATCATTATAAAAAAAATACGTAAAATTAATGCAGTATTTTAGGGAGAGACCTGGAAAACTCTATTAACATGAGATGCAGAGTCCAGGAATCAAACCCAAGACCTTAGAGATGAGAGGCAATACACTGATCCCGCACGCATCATTGTTCTACCTCCCTAGTTACCGTTGCTACGTCGGACAAGCTAAAATGTGTTTTTGATATACAGCATGGAACAGACACCAATTGCTGAAAGTTGTAAATGACTCTCCTAGAATCAATACATTCTAAAGGTACATCAAGAAACTACTAAAAATATGATTCTTATGATTTCGAGTTTGTTGGTTGGACTTTCTGTATTCCATTGGAAAAAATACCCATTGTTTGAGTGGACACTCAAGTATAGCCGGGATTGGTCTATTGATACGCTACCTCCGATTTTACACAATTATTAATTCAGCTATATGAAACTGAGTAACTAGAATATGCTCTACGCCAAACCTACCAATAAGATAGTAATCCTTCCCAGGCTCAAACTCATGTCCCTGGACTGTTGGACTCATCTCGACGAAGGCTATCGTATAATGCTTCATCTGAAGAGGAGTATTACACACCAACAACTGCTTATTGTTATTATCCTGCTTAGTAATATTGCAGCTATCATAAGCTGCTTGGTCAACCAGCCATAGGTTTTCGTAGAGGTTTTCTTTGGCTGGTGGACTGTCTGTGTCGGAGACGATGAGCGAGAGAATGGGGCATATTATGTTGAGTCTTGATTTTAGGGAGACACATTTAAGCTTGTTTGCCTTGAAACTGGAATGAAAAGTAAAGCATACATAGTAGTATTATTAGTTGAATATTGGTGAGTCTATTGATTATTATTATTATTATTATTATTATTATTATAATTATACAGCTTCTCATTATTCCCATATAGGTACTTTTCCAATTATTTTCTTAATTGGACAGGTCTTGTTGATATGGGATTAATTAGGCAGCTATATAATTAATAGGTAATGGGATTTCATGCTCCCCAATCAAGAAATAATTAGACTCGAAAAATTCCTCCGACTGCCAAATTGGACTCGGCCTACGGCCTCATCCAATTTTGTCAGTCCTCAGAATTTTCCTCGTCCAATTATTTCTTAATTGGACAGCATGGAGTCATATAACATATACTTATTATTATCATTATTATTATTAATATTATTATTATTATTAGTCGTTAAGAAACACTTCAGATCTCACCTCTTTTAAATCATCTTTAAAATCATTTCTTTTCAAGCAAGATTTCGATTTGTAAATAATTCTTTTAGACATATTATTTCATTTTTTATTTCTTCTATTTCCAATATATAACAGCATACATATATACATAAGCGCATAGATCAGGATTGTATGTGCGCTATACAAGCATATTATTATTTATTATTATTATTTGAGCGCGTTTAATCTAGATCTCCGCGCAAACCACGAAACCGCGCGCGTAAATAGACCTTATTCGTGGTGTGACAATGTTTTCCCAATTCAGCGTGACAAACCTCTGGGGGAATGAAGAGCTATTGTTTTGAAACTCGTCGGGATATCATCGTTATTCCTTTCGTATCCTTTGGGATACTCATGAATTTTTCGAAGAGTAAAAACAAAAGGAAATGAATCATCTGGAGGTTCGTCACGCTGAATAAGCCTGAAGCGAGATGACGTTTTACTCCTGTCTCTAGACCATAATCCTTTTCACATTGCTTTTGTTCTTTAATTATGACTATTGTTCCTGTATTCTCTAAGGAATCAAAAATTTTAACATGAAAGAATTTTAGAAACTATTATGGTATAGGGTCGGGGGTAAAACGTCATCTCGCTTCAGGCTTATTGGGAAAACCGTTGTCACACCACGAATAAGGTCAATTAAAGCAGCGTCTCTGATGTTAAAACAGAAAAGAGAAAAAATAGAAGCTTTATTGTGACTGGCAGAGTAAAGCAAAGTAGTGCGATTTGATGCTTTGGTCAATACGGAATACGGAATACTTTCTCCCGTATTGGCGGCTCAAAATGGCGATAATTCATAATAAGTATCATCAGTTAGATATTGGTGAGAAGACTGCACCATTTCTCTGAGACCTGCGCAGAACTGCAACGGAAACGCGCGCAAATGAATACTTCATTTTACAGTTCCATTCAGTGACCACGATAAATAGTTCCTAGCCGAGGCTGTAGTTTTGCTATGCGCGGAACCTGCGGCCTCGGCTAGAAATTATTATTCGTGGTCACTGAATGGAACTGTAAAATGGAGTATTAAGTAGACAGTGAAGAGAGACCACGGATATGACCGGCAAAGTATTATTAGTATAGACCTCTTGCATGACGTCAAGGCAGCTCGATCTGGGGGACAAAACAAAAGAATTCCCATCTCCTAAGAATTGTATCCTATTGGTTTGTCCCCCAGATTGAGATTCAATTTGACGTGCTGCAAGGGGTATATTTAACAAGTATTCGCCGAAGGCGAAGTGAATATCGTGGAATATTTACCGAGACGCGAGTCTTTGAGCGGCAAGGTAAATATTCTCTGATATTCACTGAGGCTGAGGCAAATAATTGTTTTAGTATAAATACACAGGTGATTCTTTCAAAAAAAGAAAAGAAAGAAGATAAAAGACACATTTAAAATTAGGAAAATTTTTAATTGAAGTGACACATGAAACGCGGCTTTCAATTACAACACAAAATTACGAATCAAAACAGTTTGTTTGAGCTAGCTAATTTGATTGTTTTAAGTCCTATTTTACCTTTGAACAAAGTTAGTGCAAATTTGTCAGCCTCTTTAGTCCTTTTGGGGACAGCATTTTCTTTCATTATTCTAATTCCTCTCCGGTAACAGCAACAAAGCGGCTGGCCGCCATTTTGGATTATCGCTGGAGGTGATTATCGTGTGATAGTGTGAGTTTCTCGACCAATCAGCGCACGAGATTTTCAATAATCACCTGTGTATTATTACTAAAAGTGATTATTATTAGTAATATTGTTGATCATCGTTATATTAATATTTATGAGCATATTTGAGTATGCGCCTATTATCTTGGACCGCATACGCGCAACTGCAACATTCAAAATTATAAAAAAACAAACAAAAAAAAMAAMAAMAAMAAAAAAAAAAMAAAAMAAAAAAAAMAAAAAAAAACAACACACACATAACTTTAAAAAAATCATATAAAGGTGGTTTGCAATCATTTCTGTCCCAAAAGAATAAACAAAATATATACTTTTTTGGGTTAGGGTGAGGTAGGGTGGTGAGCCACAGGTATCCCACACTATGTTTTCTGCATTGCAATTTAATATACGACAGCCATGTTGGATGACAAAAAACAGAGACTACCGTGTTTCGCTAAATTCAACCAAGATGGCGGCTATAAAAATCCATGAGCACAAAACAAAAATATTCTTGTTTTTTTTAGAAAATTTAATTGCTTCAAACTTTAAGTCATTCAGTTGGCTCAATGCTATGGCAACAGTACTTTCAGCTGACTATTTCAAATGTCGTCATCGATATAAACCATGACGTAATGTTCAATTTTTTGCAGGCATAACACTTGGCTGCTTTCAAATTTGTTGACAATGCAAAAAAAGTTCGCAAAATGTTTCATTTTATTTGAGGATTTTGCAATATCTAAATATAGCAAAATATTTCATTGAATATCTAAAATTCGGATTCTGGCAGAAAAAAATCGAAATTTTAACGATGTACAGAACCTTTGTGTGATATCTTGCATAACGCGGCCGTTCAAATCTATATATCTGAATAAATCTATTCTTGATTTTTGTCAATATTCTTGCAGCCTATTGAGGCTACTGTTCATATTACTGCCTGTATACAAGCGATTATCTGATAGAAAAAATATTAAAATCAGGCTGGCAATATCTAAAAATTGTCTTTATTCATCATGCATCTTGGCCTTGACAGAAACGTTGTTTACATTTTACTCGTGACTTCAATGGTACTTTTTATTGTGCATATTAATTATATGAAGACATATAAATCCTTTTAAAGAGAGAGAAATACTTTTATGCTAAATTAACGCTAATGTTTTCAAATCATGATAAAATTTAAATAATGTATTTTATGTTATGAAGTAGATTTTCTAATCTAATCGGTTCTAATCAGTTTGCAAAACCAGCTTTTCTTCAAAGCAGCTCTAGCTACTTCAGCCTGTGTGCAGACCGAATCAGCACGCAGACTTCTGCCAAAACAATCATATAACTTTACTCTCACACTCATGCAACGAATCTATAAACGAATTGGACTTGAAATTTTGCATAAAAGAAATTATTTCTATCTATACGAGCACCAGCTACCTAAAGCGTGCTCAATAGAAATGCTATCTTCTAATAGATTGAGTAGCAGTTAACTGGATCTAGTTTCGAAATCGCTGAGTACGAAGTCAGCAAATTTTATCTTAAATTTTGACCACGTTACACTTGATAGCGAGAGGGTTTGAACAGGCAGCATTGATCTTCAGCCGGATTAATTCACGAATATTTAGACTTTGGAAAAAAATAAAGTTCAATCAATACAAAACAATTAATATCTTAAACACTTACATTGGATTCTCTGGGCTCCAGACTATGGATTTATACACAACTCCACGAATTTCAGTGCAAAAGAAAAACCCTAATACGAGGACAAGTGTTCTCGATGACCAACACGACTTCATTATTGATTGCTAGGCCATGATCAAAGAACAGAGTCTGTTATTGTCCGGTTTTGGAGTCAGGTCCATGCCTGTATAGCGTCAGTTTGGAACTCCTATTGTTTTGCTGATAAAATATCACAGAATTTTACTTCCGGTCTAAAGTATATTTAAAAGTCTAATGAGATAAGATTAAAGGAAAATATCGAATGGATTGTAGGACTCGGATTGTAGGAGTGCTGGATATCGGAGCGAAGTGTCATCAACCTTTTGATGTAGAGGATGGTAAATGGAAAATTAACAACTAAGAATTGATGAAAGGGAAAATGATATTCAGACAAATAAAATATTTATAGTGAAATATATAATAGAATATATGATGATACTGAGTATGTAACTCTAGACAAGTCGGGTGCTGTTATAAATCCCGTACGGACTTTACAGGCCCGATTTCGACAGTACTTGCACATGCTGTCTGTGATGGGTACCCCAGTTTGAGGGACTTAAATAAATGTAGATGTAGATGTTACACGACCCGTTCTTTCGCGCAACATTCCTACGAATTGAACATGTTACACACGACAATTTTTCGCGATTTTTAAATGGCAATTTCGATCCCAGCTCTCAAGCCGCGCAGCGTGACGAATCAAAACAAACAGTGTGTTCAAATTGAAACACTTCCTCGACCTCTTTTAAAGCTTGTTTCTTTTTTTTATTTTTTATTTTTATTTTTTTACATCTTTTGTTTGCTTGTCATGTGGAGACCACAGACAAGGCTTTGCTTTGATGAACGATATTAACTCAGACGCGCTGCATCATCTAAGCGGCTCTGGTCAATTAACAATTCATCAACATCTCACAAATTTTCGTCTTCTTCAATTACCGCCGTTATCTCGTTTGACATCAGCCCTGTCCTTGAACTGCATTCTGGAAAAATTGTCGATGAAGCTGTTACACGCATCAACTTGCTGAAAATTCGTTTTGCGAGTTTTTGAAGGAGAATCAAAAACTCGTAACGTGTTGCCGTATTCGAAAATCTACGTGTGCGGTGTGTTAAACGCATCAATTTTTTGTGCAATGGCGTATCGCGAAAACTGAATCGACGCGGAAAATCGTTGCGTGTAACATCMCCTTTAGTTGGCATTTTTCCACTCAGTTGAAATCACGCTGAAGTCTTTTTTTTAAGGTTTGAAGCCTGCTGCCATTCTCTTCATCCACCAATTCAATTCCCCTTCTCACCCCTCCCCTTCTCTTCCCCTTAACCCTCAGTCATATATTTGCATTTTCTATTAATTACTAGCTTTACAAAGTTCAATAGTAGAAATATTCCAATAATCCAGTTTCGATATGAAGCTTCGATCCAAACACACGCGCGAGAAAAAAATGAAAAAATGCGGAAGAAAACAGAAAGACCTCTTTAAGACAAATGCTACTAGTATAGATTAAATTTTACTTCAAATCAAATCATTTCATCAAGCTTCAGTATTAATAAGACACTCAAAAATGTCAAAAAAAATGAAAGAAAATGAAGACTTTAAACCGGAAATACCTTGACAACGTCATTTTTGTCTACGAGACTCGTTCCCAGGCAATGATGTCATTTTCCTTATTTGGCACTGTAGGTCTGGCCAAGAGGGCGGCCATTTTTCGTAGCTTCCGCTACAAATTTACGTTGACAATCCGGTAAATATCTGAACCATCCTTAGATATTTTGCTTCAATATTTCACTTCAGAAGCCTTAATTATATAGCTTAAAGTTCCTGCTGTTGATTTTGTGAATTTGAGGAATTCTGGTTGAGAAATATTGTCATTTGTTGAGGTTTATTGAAATTTGCTTTGAAACTGAATAATTTGACTTTGGACTTGGTTGTTATAGCATATACTTTCGACCATGGGAACGAAGGACGACGAATATGACTATCTTTTCAAAGGTAACTATGAGATCCTCCAGCTTCCTGAGATTATTATTTTCTGCTGAATACCTAGCTTATATGATTTTGTACGTTTTTATCTTTATAGTTGTACTTATTGGTGATTCTGGAGTTGGAAAATCAAATTTACTCTCTCGATTTACGAGGAATGAGTTTAACTTGGAGTCAAAATCGACCATTGGGGTTGAATTTGCCACAAGAAGCATCCAAGTAGACGGAAAAACTATAAAAGCTCAGATATGGGATACAGGTATGTGTGGTAAAAAATCAGAGGTCATTTGGAAAGGCAAAGTTGGAACAATTTTGAAGTGAAGTTGCAGAATTTCAGGAGTAGTTTGAAAACAGTGGGAGGAGATCGAGACGAATTCATCCTAAAGTTCCTCTCGAAAACAAATCATTAAGTTTCTAGCTTAATATCTATTCCTGCCAAGCAAGAAACTACTAACTATTCTACTGTTGAAATATCCTCAACATAAATTCATAATCACTTTAAAAAATTACGAATTTCTACTTATAAATATTCAGAGCTGGTTTGAAATATTTTGTACAAATTCGTACCATGAACGAGTCGCTATTCAATTTATGATGAATTCTAACGATATTTATATATTTTTTCTATCATTTTTAGCTGGTCAGGAACGATATAGAGCCATCACAAGCGCGTAAGTACTAAAATTTTCAATATTTCCTGCTAAGATTGTGTCGTAGCATGAATGAATGCAAGATCAAACATGGCTGCCCATCCTGCTTCAGACTTCATGCAGATCAGAGTATTTAATTCTCCAAATCAAAGCCCATATAAGCCCATATTTCATATTTCATAATATTTATTATTTTAGTAATACGAGTGTCAAATCTACATTCGTAATCACAGTTGTTTGGGTTTCAAAGAATCGAGGTTTCCTTTGAAATGTTTTATTTTTACTTTTTGAAAAATATGAAATAAATTTTAACCAAATCATAAATCAACGATAAATATTTGTTACTATTATTCTATCTTTCCTGCGAATTTTTATTTTTGGTTTGTCATGATAATATTTATGATAATTACTTCCCTAAGGACTTTTAAAAATGTGATGTTATTCACTGAATAAACTATGACWAATGCATTTTTTTTTTCATTTCGAAAGTTCATTCAAGCTTTACTTATCCTACTGGCTTAACGAATTGTTCAATTTAAGCATTAATACAGATTTTACATCCAAAAATTCAAACACAAAAAAGCTCGAACATTTTAAAACTTGTTCAATATAACTTTGATTAACATTTTCCATAACTGAAACTGTTTATATGGTTGAAAAAACAATTTGAAATATTTTTTCAAAGTAACCACTTTTAAAGAGATTTATTTTGACATCCAATCAATATCATAACTGTTCATAACTACTTATATGCTTATGGTTGTCATAAATTTGAATTAGCTTTTGTTTTCATCTACACATCTGCTTGCTTCTTGAAGTGGTGATTTTAAATTATGCCAAAGTATGTGTGTAATCTTGACAATATGTATGTCATTGCCTTAAAGGAGGATTTAATACTTAAATTATTCTTTTCAAACTTGACAGTTTAAGTAATGATTTGATATGTGCCAACATAAATGTGTAGTGTTTATGCTGGGGCCATGTTTTGAGAGATTTAAAAATTGAATTATGATAATAATAATATTTTTTAAGAGAGGGATGATGTGATAGTCGCAACTGAGAAATTTGTGACCCTCTATATTTAACGTCTCTAATTGAGATGGGACAGCTATTTTGTGTGGTCATCAAAGCCACGGTGAAGGTCTAACCATTTGCAGATATTTTTATCAGCGAAGGCAGCACCTTCTAATCAGCTATTTTAAGACTCTGAGTGTGAGTCTGGCCGCAGAGGCTTGAGCCCAGGACCTCCCACACAAGAGACCAATGAGCTAACCAACTGGGTTAACTGGGAGGCGACTTTCCTTATTTAAACCCAAGAGTGTTTCTCACATGTAACCCCAATAATTTCCCATCTTGATCAGTAATACTAAACAGAGATGATTTATAAATGTTATCAGTTGCTTGCTTCTTTCTTGTTTCACAAAGATGGGTGGGGTAGCAGTAGTGCTCTTGCCTCTCATCCTTGTGGTCTGGGTTCAATAGACTTCCTTGGCTGGGGGGTAATGTTTTCCTATTTCAGACCATGTGTCATTCCCTAGAGTATCATTTCTTTGTTTAATGGTTGTACAAGAGAAGTCACATGAATATTGATACAACTCAAATGAAGAATCTTATCCTCATGGAAAACAATTATGCCCAAGCCTAGGAAATCTATAGACCTCCTCGGTTCTGACGTAATGTTGTCCCATTTCAGACCATGTCATTCCCTAGAATATCATTTCTTTTGTTCAGTGGTTGCACTCAGTTGCACATGAGTAGACACATGAATATGGATGCAACTCAAACAAATAAGCTCATTCTCAAGGGAATGACGCATGGTCTGAAATGGGAAAACATTATGCCCGAGCCAAGGAGGTCTATTCCTGGAGTCTGCATCTTGGACTAGAGTTTGTATGCTTTGCTTACGCTTCTTTGCAAAGCTGACTTCCAGTGCCATGTTCGTTAAATCAATATAGCACAGTTCTCAACCAATCAGAGCATGCATATCAATGTGGTTATAAATATATTAAAATAATTTACCTTCTATTGCAGGTATTATCGGGGAGCCGTTGGTGCATTGCTGGTCTACGACATTGCTAAACACTTGACTTATGAAAACGTCGAGAGATGGTTAAAGGAACTGCGAGACCATGCCGACAGTAACATTGTGATCATGTTGGTTGGAAACAAGAGTGATTTGAGACATTTAAGAGCTGTACCTACGGATGAAGCCAAGGCATTTGCAGGTATAAGTATGTTACCGGCCAGGAGGTCCATATAGGGAAAAACTGTGCCAGAGGTTTTGAACATACAGAGCAAGGCCATTAGGCAGAGATCCCTTTTCAAGACTGAGGGCAAAGTGTTTTCCTATTGCGACTGAATTTAATCCTGACAATAAACAACTTGTTATTTTTCCCCCTTTACTTACTCCCTTTAAAAAAACATACTAAATTCCTAAGAAAGTTCAAATTCACAGCAATATTCCAAAAAAATTTCAGTCGAAAAAAAAGGTTTTGAACCCACATCACAAATGATTATGAAATACTTTCCAAAATAATACACTTTTCAACCACATTGTTGGCCCCTAGACTTGAAATTTCAGACAAAGCAGCCAAAAGTCCAATTGAAATATGAAAGATACTAGTCATGCGTGATGTGAATTAGCTGTAAACATCCCTAATTAACAATGAAGTAATCAATAAAGTGTGTCATCTATGCTTTTTTGTTCATGCTGTATTATTTTTTTCCTGTTTAGAAAAAAATGGCTTATCTTTCATAGAGACGTCTGCATTGGATTCAACCAATGTTGAAGTAGCTTTTCAAAACATATTAACAGGTAAGATGACTCCTCAGGAAAAGAACCATTATTAGTTCTTGCAAAGCCAGTGCTAAGATCTAGTTTTAAATTTGGTGGGTAAATTTTTTTTTCTTTTTTTGGTATTGAGTAAGGTTCATATTTGGACAGAAATGTCTGCATTTTTAACTCCATTTTTTTCAAACCGCTTACAACAAAATTACAACAAAATACAAACATTAAGGTGTCCCGCTATATTAACCCTTTAACTACTAAGGTCCAACCTCATTATTCTGCTTGTGTTCCTAGAGCTATTCAGAAAGTTGACCAAAATTGTGTCACAATCATTTGTGTGAAGTTTCTGGATTTTGATTGAATAATACCTCAAGTATGACAACTGAACAATGGGTTACTCTAGGGTATTTTCTTGGGTGAACACAGGCTGATGAAAATAATGATAATTTCTGGCCTGTTTTGGCCAGCTCAGGAAAATCCGCAGATTTTTTAATGGCCTGATTTGGCCTTTTTAGTAATCTAAGGGTTAAACCACCTGGACCAATAAAATGATGGTTAAAAATGGAGGACCTAAATAGGGCTTTGAAATGTCTACATGTAGGGTAAAATAGGCTGTTTGCATGATGCAGTCATTTTGATATCACTACCAAAATGCTTCGCAAATTTTCTTTGTTTCTTTGTTATTCAAATTTGTATTCCCTCATGAGAGTAGTAAGACAATAGACCTCCTCGGCTCTGACGTAATGTTTTCCCATTTCAGATCATGTCTCATTCTCTTGAGAATAATATTCTTTGTTTGAGTTGTATCCATATTCATTTTCTCATGTGCAACTGAGCGCAAACCTTAACCAAAGAAATGATGCTCTCTGGAATGACATGGTCTGAAATGGGACAACATTATGTCAGAGCCGAGGAGGTCTATTGCTGCTAATTAACTGAAAAAAAAAATGATTCAAGGGATTCTGGTAGTGCTAGTAAATGATGTCATAATGCAAGTGTCTTAGGATACAATAACTTATACATCTTAATCGTAATCACATAGTTTTTTTCTTAGAGAAATATTGATGCCTGTTTTGATTTCTTGCAGAAATCTACCACATTGTGTCTCAAAAGCAGATCCATGACTCCCCCACCTCCGACGGCAGCCACCCTAGTAATAATGTACAAACCATTCATGTAGCACCTACGACAGACGAGGACAGAAAGAAAAAAGTACAGTGTTGCAATGCATAGATTCCTATCAGCAATTCCGAATTCCTGCTTTGTTGGTAATATTATTCTTTTCTATCTTAAACTACTTCCCAGGGGGGGAATTAAATAACATTTAATGGGGAACACTGAATAACTTGTGATTTAGTTTCTAAGGAAATTGTCATAGTGACCCCCCCTGACTTAGTAGAAGTAAATACATGCACACACACCCCCACACATGCTTATTATATGTGTTGAAATAACTTGTGAGTCAGTTTCAAAACACTTGTTTAATTCTTTGTTTGCTTTTGTGTTGATAACAGGGTTATCAATACTAGCTTGAGTAAGTGGCAAAATGTAATCAATGGGCATCAGTGATTGAATCTTTCTGACGTTTCCCCTAAATTTTTGGGAACTTTAATCAAAATAGGCRGCAAGTTCACTTAAAATACCCAGCGAGATTCGCCCCCAGCTTCTGTTGAAAACCCTGTGATAATGTTGTCCAAAAGACTGGGAGGTTGATGACGTAATGTGTAAAAAATCAGAATGATCCTCATAACAAAGATGAGCAACCATGTTGATGTTCATGACATGAAAAGATTTCTGAGGTTAGTATACAGTATGCCAAAAAGTGTAGAAAACTAAATGATTCAAATGACAAAGACATGGTGGCCGTGATGGTGTAGATAACAAGAGAATGTACCAAAAATATTTTGTTAGAGTACACCAATATTTTGGCAATGACCTCAGTGAAGCAAACCAAATGATTTAACAAGATTGCAGTGGCCATGTTGATCACATCTCTCTTTACTTAAACATGCAAACAAAGAATTAAAACATTCTTGTGCAAATTCTTGTCTACACCAAAGTTCCTGTGGTCTTATTATTAGAATTGTATACACCTAATTGAAAAAACGTAGTCAGGTTGGAGAAGGTCATATCATCGAAGCTAAGACCGAAAAGGATTGTGGGTACTCTGAAATGTGTATTATATTTGCATATAGACATGTAAAAATGCACAGTAGAGCAAAGTCGGTCAACCTAGATGATGCATAAAATGTGCACAGAAAGGGAAAACTGCAATACGCATGAAATTAACACAATCTTTGGCTTCCCATGCTCCCCTTCGGTCTTAGCTTTGATGATATAACCTTTTTTGAACCCGACAACGTTTTTTCAATCAGGAATATTGTACAGTATCTACATTTGCCTTACATTTTCGGTATTAAAAATATCCTTAATTCCAGGAATAAGTTGATTATTAAAGCAGCTTAATAGATTCTTTTGCCCCTCAGAGATTACAGAGATTATACATGTCCTTAGAGTTATATTGCGAGTCCTATTCATCATTTGGTAAATACTGCTATCTGTTACCAGACTTATTTCTATCAACCATTTCGAGATTGAGGAAAGATATGGACCAATTTTGCACTGCAGTGCACTGTAGGATTGTTGTAGGGAACATATTACCAAGATGGCTCCTCTTTCATCCACCTAAACAATCCCACAATGCACTGAAAAGCCATATATCAACCAAGTCTTTTTTGTTAATCAATGGCTAATAGGTATGGCCTTGTTTAGAAGTTGATTATTTATAGAATGTACTGCAATAGGGAATATTGGTAGCCTGTGTGCAGCGGGACTTTTCTCTCTTAACAGTTAGTTTGTTCAGCTGCACGCAGGCTAGAATATTGGGTGCCAGCAGTATGACATGCAGATGAGACAAGGGGGTCAATATCGTATTATATTAACCCATTTGCCTCCCTTTAATGGTTTTATGAAAACGAAAAAATTAGTTTGACTGCATACTTGGTAGTAATTTCAATATAGAGGCTCTGCACCATCACATGAAGGCAGCCATGACAGGAGGCACAGCAAATGAGTCTTTTCCCCCTGGGAAACTAAGGTCTTTCTACTGTAAACCAGATTAGATTACATTTCATTTTTTTTTTTTTTTTTTTGCATTCTCTCATGGCTGCCATCACTTGTCATGTTAATGCAAAGATGCTATTGATGTAGACCAAATATTAGATTCCCTACATTTTGATATTTTGATGGATTTGCAAATAGGTCTGTAGTTAATGTCAGAGTATCAAAAGCAGTATTTGCCAAGTGATACGGGCTATAGAGGAGCTTGATGGCTATTTTAGGGGATGAAATAGACGCCATCTCGGAAATACGTGCCCTAAAATAGCCCCACAATGCACTGCAATGACAGCTAGACCCAGTCTTCCTCAACCTCAATGGCTAATATGTACATTGTACTTGATGTTAATGGTAAAAGAATGCGTGGTTAAGTGTAAAAAGGTGTTACTTTATTATAAAAGCTCATTCCATAAAGAACTGATTAATCCAAGATTACAAATGCTGGACTTTTTTTTATCTATTAAATTTACTTCAAAATGCAATGTATTTTTTATTGCATTGTAAATGAGATTTTGAACCCTTAATTAAAGAGCAGCAATATAATTATCTGTGTCGTTAGTGTTTTATTAAGTCAATATTTTTGTGAGATTTTGGTTGAATAGGCGTTGTTGAACTAGGGACTGAGCAATAGACCTCCTTAGCTATGTAACTCTCGAGCGTAATGTTTCATTTCGTGTCATTCCCTTGAGATTAATATTCTTTGTTTGAGTTGTATCCATATTTATGTGTCTTTTCGTGTGCAACCGAGCGCAAACYTTAAACAAGAAATGATACTCTAGGGAATGACATGTGGTCTGAAATGGGACAACATTACGTCAGAGCCGAGGAGGTCTTTAGACCTCCTAGGCTTGGGCGTAATGTTTTCCTTGAGGATAAGATTATTTGTTTGAGTTGTATCAATATTCATGTGACTTCTTTTGCGCAACCGTTACACAAAGAAATGATACTCTAGGGAATGACACTTTGTCTGAAATGTAAATACATTACGCCCGAGCCGAGATGTATATTGATATTTGTTAAATGAAGCATCAACTCCCCAAAAATTCTCCCAAAAAAACTCCCCAAAGTCTAACCTCAAAATCGAGCAGGTTCGACTAAGGGGGAAAAATTTGACGATCCATATATCTTGCAACCTGTAAAGCTTTTATTACTGCCATAATCGTTTGCACGCGTGTTTAGGTAAGTAGCACCTTTTGTGCTATTGTACTCCAAAATTAAATCACGATGATGAAGGTGATGATTTTGACGATGACAATGGTATAGATGATGAAATACACTAACTTGATAATGAAATCTAAACATTCAAGAACCATTTGATAGTGATAGTACAATGACGTCATTGTTCATAGAGCGGCATATCTACCGAGAAAACTCCAAACAGAGCATATTTTCTTGTGTTTTGGCTTCCTTACATCAAAAAAATATACAAGGGTCTGAGTTATTAAATCTTTGATTATTGAAAACCAAAAATCCTGTACGTCGCGTGTACAAATCGAAGAGGTCCCACAAACATTAAAAGAGCTAAAACAAGAAATCATTTAAGCTATATACAGGGCAAAACTAACTGATGTTGATTGGATAATGCATGAATGAAGGCTTTTTCCTTTAATTCGGTACCGAATTACTACAAAATGATTGCTAGTTTATTTGCCTAAAAGATATAGAATTTTGCCGTTGATTATAAAAGCTATAGTTATTTGATTGGAGAATCGATTCAAATCTATATTTTTATGAATACACCTCATTGAAAGAACGTAGTCGGGTTCGAGAAGGTCATATCATCGAAGCTAAGACCGAAAAGGATTTTGGGTACTCCGAAATGTGTATTATATTTGCATAAAGACATGTAAAAATGCACAGTAGAGCAAAGTCGGTTGACCTAGATTAACAACATGCCAAAGCCATGATGCATTAAATGTGCACAGGAAGGGAAAGCTGCATATCATAAATTAGCATAGTTGTTTGTCTTCCCATGCTCCCCTTCGGTCTTAGCTTTGATGATATAACCTTTTTTTGAACCCGACAATGATTTTTCGATTTTGAGCAGATTATTTTATATATAATCAGTTTTATAGGCAAGTAGCCTTCGTAATAAAATTACACAATAACAAGAAAGCAAAACAGTGAACATAGCGTGACACTAGAGAAAAGGGTTTGCACATGCACATAGTATGTGTACACGAATTAGTTGAAAACATTTTAGTACCCAGAGCTCCTCCTCCCGTTCCACCCTGGGGTTTTAAAAGTCGTCAATAGCACCCAAACTCTTTGTATCTAGGGAGAAAATGGTGAAATGTGTGCATGCGTAAACGCTTTTCATTAGTGCATGTAGCCTGCCAGAAAAAAAAGTTATTATTCAGCGACACGGACAGCTCGCCCCAACGCGTTGAGCAACGTAGACCAACTGATATCCGATGTTGTGCTGTTGACGGCCACGTTGCCTGTAGAATTGAGTAATAAATTGATAAATTTAGGCTTAATTTGTCTGTTTCGTACGGGGGAAATACCATGAATACCAATTCTTTTCAAATTTTTTTATGAGAAACTAYAAATTTGAATAAGTAAGAGAGAAAATTCGTGAAGAATCTTGGTCGGAGATTCAAAAATGAAGCCATCATGCAAACGGCTAATTTAGCCCGGCTCAAGCTTGTTGCCTCTGTTGCAATAGACTGTTTTTGAATCAGTGCAATACCACAGTGTTCCTTGATTTCATGTACTCAGGATTGGCTTCATTTAGAAAAGGAGAGAAAGAGAGAAAGAGAGAAAGAGAGAAAGAACTGCATACCTAGATAATTCCTATTGGTGCTTGCATCCTTTCCCATGTGAAAAGACGGGCAAAAAAGTGACCGCCATGTTGGTTGACATGTTCGGAAAAAGATTCTAAAATTTAATCTTTTGTCAAAATCAACCAAAATGGCGGCTGTGACGTTACATGTACCCTATCCTATACCCTTATTGATACAACGGACATCTTGAATTATGGGATATGGAGGGTACAAAGTGGCGGGTTTACTTTTTCGAATAATTATAAATTTTGAAGTGTTGCATATCGTTCCAACTACCAGCAAATTCAATTGCTTTTTAGATGTGCTTCTCATTGAAAAGCTTAAAGTCACATAAAAAGACATCCTGACAGCTGTGCAGTCTATAAATTTTTTAATAGTTGCCCCCTTCGTCATCCCATTTCTTTATTAAAACAATAGAATTCAAGATGGCCGCCGTATCGGTAAGGACTATTGTAGTTGGACCATATGCATATTATTACCTCGATCTTCGACACCTGCTTAGTCCATGCCATCCACACTTCGTTGAATAGTAGGAGGCATAATAAACCGTGGTATAGTAGCCATAGGTTCTTGTCTCTGCTCTACAGTCAGCTGTAAAGAGTTTAAAAATCATCGACAAGTCAGGTGATATTTCCCGCCATTTCTGGCATGTTAACTTAATCTGTCAGAGCCTGGGTTTTAAAACTTTTTAGAGCTTTTAAGAGTGGTGTCACTCGCTTGGAAAAACGAAAAACGAAAACTTTTTTTCATGACAGGGTTTTGTCGTCCAAAGTTCTAATAGACCGGTTTCGATTTCCAAATTACCGCTAGCTGTTTTTCTTGATTACAGATTTATTTACACCGTGTTAATGGCTTCGATCTTGTGAAGAATATTCACGTGTTCCAGTCAAGGCCGTCGAATTTCAAAGTCTTTGTATTGTTGAAATTGTGCATTCTTACTTTATGTACTAGGTTGGTATTTGTGAATATATTTAAACATTGATACGAGACAACCCTGTGTAAATGAGTCTGTAATCAAGGAACACAGCGGTAACTTCGAATTCGAAACGTACTGGTCTAAATTGTTTCGGTCGCAACTTAAGTGGGTGGAAATACTATATTCTTGGAGTGCAACCATGTCACCAAAAAATCCCTTGAGATGAAATAACAATGAAACAGCCGCCATCTTGGTTGATTTAACAAGAGAAACTTAATGAGGAATGCTTTATAACCAACATGGCGGCTATACGTAACATGCACCCCAAGAATAGGAGAATACTAATGAAACAGCATCCATGTTGTTTGATCTAACAAGAGAAGCTAATGAGGAATGCTTTATATAGTAACCAACATGGCGGCTATGACGTAACATGCACTCCAAGAATAGGATACCAAACAAACAGCCGCCATGTTGGTTGATCTAACAAGAGAATCTAATGAGGAATGCTTTGTTATCGTCAACAAACATGGCGGCTATGACGTAACATTACCTCAAGAATAGAGTTCCGAAGGCATTAGCAGGACGCAACCGACTTACCTCTACAGCCTGATCCGTATCTATGGTAACAGCGATTGCAGTCACACCTATACGAACCAATAAGGTTCACGCAACGCGAGTAAGCTGGGCAGGAGTAGGTACCAGATGAACATTCGTTAATGTCGCTGCAGCTGGTGGCGGAGACTGGTGGACGAGGGCCGTATCCCGAGTTACAGTAGCATTTGTACGAGCCCATAGTGTTCACACATCTACAATAGTATTAAAGATAGCGATTGAGTATGCACCTATTTCAAAAAACATTGTCGGTCGGAGATCTGAAATCTGAGACCGAAAGGAATTGTAGGTTGTAAGCTGTAAATTGTTTTGTGGTTTTAATCAGTAGCTCACAAAAAGTTAATATCTTGATATACTAACTAGTACTTTGAGCGATGACCTGCGCTGGCAAACCATCTGAATGTATATTGAATTTTTAACGAGAAAACACTCAGTCCCCCACAATTCTAATCGGTCTCAGATTTCTGAATTCAGCCAGTATCCAACCGACAACGTTTTTTGAAATAGGTGTATATATTCTAAAAATATAATTGGCTTATTGACTCAAGCGAAGAATATATGATCCAGTAATGGAATACATAATACAGAATATGGTTCCTGATATATGGAAAATTTGTGGGCTCACAGGCTCAGTATGGGAGATGGACGCTCTTAGTAATGTGTTCCTGTTCTGGAAATATGTTGGCTCACAGACCCAGTATGGGAGATGGACGCTCTTAGTAATGTGTTCCTGATCTGGAAATATGTTGACTCACAGACCCAGTATGGGAGATGGATGCTTCTAGTAATGGGCTCCTGATCTAGGAATATGCTGGCTCACAGACCCAGTTTTGAAGAAATAGAAAACGCGCACGTAAGCTGTGTGCAGTTATAAAGCACGCGGGGGTTGGCAGAACACGAGAGAAGTGTTAGAACAAGCACGACGCGTAGCGGAATGCTTCTCGACACTTTTCGAGTGTTCTGCCAATCCCCAAGCGTTTACTTACCGTGAGTTGGATGGGCATGGATTCCTTGTGCATTCATTAACATCAACGCATGTGTGTGGTCCATTATTCGTCCAACCACTAAGGCATATACAGTGATATGAGCCCACAGTGTTAACGCACCTGGACGAYTGGGGACATGTACCTGGCTTATCAACACATTCATTTAAATCCTTACAGACTGGCAGTCGTGCGTTCGTAGGGACTGGGTACCAGCCGTCATTACATTGGCAGCGCCAGCTTCCTATTGTATTAATACATCTTGCCTGCGGGTCACAGCCGTGGATCCCGCGGGAGCACTCATTTATGTCCACGCACCGGAATTTGGACACTTTTTCGTAGCCGGAGTTGCAGATGCAGTTGTAGCTTCCGACTGTATTAACGCATGTTGAGCCCGCAGAACATTTATGAGATCCCTCAGTGCATTCATTGCTGTCCGTGCATACAGGATGTTCACCGCTTCCCTTCCATCCTGGAATGCAGTTGCACCTGAATTTTAAAAAATCCGAAAACAAAAAAGTGAGAAAGAAAGCCGTGAAGAAAGAACAAAAAAGTAAAATAAAATATTTTGTAAATCAAAGATTTTCTTCATCTTTCGTAATCATTTCCCAAAGCAAGTGGCCTATGCCGAAATTCACGAGTCTAAWGAATTTGGAATTGCATACATTTAAAATGAATAAGAAAAAAATATGAAATATACATACTTTGTATATTTACATATATTAATATTCATAAACGAAAAGTGTGAAAAGCGCGCGAAAACATGGCACGTTTGCACCATGGCATGCAAGATGAATATATCAAAGAACTGAGTAAGAAGCTGTAGTAGGGAGAGCAAAATATTTCCCATTTTACGAGGAAAAGATCAAAGAAATAGTCACGTTTGGACTACTGATAGATACATAAACGATTACTAAAGCAGTAGAAGTAACTCAGACGGCAGACGACACTTCAGCTCAGCTCCAAATGCGGTCGCTTGAGATCCTTAGTGAATCGCCTGTTGTCGTTCTTCAGCAGCTCCTCGTTCTCTCGCTAAAACTCCAATATTTTCAAGTAATACACAGTCTATAAGCCGTATAATTGATATCTAAACTGAAGGTATAGAATGAACTCGCCTGGGCAGTGAAATTTCTATGAACACTCGAGAAATCATTATCTTATTCTCAGTCAAGTCATTGAACCAGACATGAGACCGACTCGTTGGAAAGCCCTTATACAACGACCTCGAAAAAAGTAGCGTTTTGATCCAGAATCTGCACTTCGAGCCGAAATTCAGGTAAGAAACTTTGACTCCTAAAACGTTAAGTATAAATTGATGTAAGTGTTTTTATGACTATTTATTTTATTTTCATAACTCGAGTCATAATAAATCAACCAAATGTCACCAACTTGTATTATTATACATTTTACTAAGTACCTCAATTCTGATTGGTCGAGAGCCCTCAGCCAATCCC